TAGTCCAGACTTTCACGGGTCGCATGGTTGATAGAAGATCATTAGTTGTCGCCAGGTTCAAATGTGTCAGAAGACCAACGTATGAGCAGTCTGAAGTCTGACTGCTGGAAACAGCTGCAGGGTAAGAGACAAAAAAACAACTTTTCTAGAGAAATAAAGTATTTTTATTCCAACATACTATTCAAAAGTAGAATTGTAAAACCCACAAGTAATTAAAAAACTCACCAACTAAAGCTAGAAAAGCCAGAGTCCTCAGGGCTGACATGATAGTTTGCCCTCATCTCGTCCTGAGGGCACGCTTTTAAGCTGCAGAACCGTGTTGCATTATGAGCAGAACAAAACAACAGTAAGAGACTTCAATAGAACTAATTACATAACATAAATCCTTGGCGCTTTTATTGTTGAGCTGCAGCTGATGCAATAAGTGAACATGAGGAGATCTCAGTGACATTGAGGGTTTTAGAGTGCAAACTACTCAAACACCTGTGGTCAAGAACAAATACAGGCAGGTGACAGGAAATAATTCCAGGTCATTATTTAGAACATTCAAAATGTACCTGCACATAGTGAAAATAAGTATCCGAGTTAGAATTTTGTATTTATTAAATAACTAGACTCACCTGTGTTTAAAATAGAAAACCAATTATTATTATTATTATTTTTCATTCAAATTCATTTGCTCTCATCTATTTATGTTTTTCTTGGGACTTTGTGATATGAAGAACATCTATGGGGTTAGATTTGTCTCAATAATATTTGTGTGAACATAAAAATAATTTGTGAGTAAATGTGTGATTTGTAAATGTAAAAAAACATCCACAAATGCATTGAAAAGATTGGCAAACTCCTCAAAAATTGCTGATATAAAACGGATCTGCAAATACAGTATGCAAAATATTTTCACAAATAAAAAAATGATCTGTGAATACTATAATTAGTTTACAAATATACAAAAGTAATTTGTGAATATCTCTCTAACATTGACAACTTTCGATCAGGCATTTGTGAATCAACAAAAAATGCGTTTATGGAACTTAATTCTCTGCTTGTGGATCGTATTATTACACACACGAGTTTTGAGACAAACCTTCCGCCGGTCTCGACTAAAATCTGCTCGTGTCACTCGGTTATTTTCGGAAGCCACGTTATGGCCTGCTGATGACGACATTTCTGTGGGCGGCCTTACAGATGGAGACGGTCTCGAGGACCAGCAGGAGAATGACCAGACAGGCGTATGTACGCAAGATGGGGGAGGAAGACCACATGGTCGAGCAGCTCTAGAAGACGTGCCGGAGCCATTGGGAGAATTTACCAAATTCTGGTGTCTTGCGTCAGAATCCCTAGCTGCCCGAATACCAACACAAGCCCCAGAAACGAGCTCTGCCCATCTGCTCTTCCTTCTGCATATCCTTCAGAAAGGCTCTGTCAATCCGTCTTGCCTGGGACAGTGCAGGGGGAGTAGATACTGTCATGGTCTTGGTTTTTGTGTTTCCTGTTTTATTTCTAAACATTATTCCCCTGCTTTATGTATGTTTTTACTTCCTGTCTTTGTGTTTTCCCATGTTTGATTGTCTGCCCCAGCCTAATTCTTTCCTTCCGCTGCCCCTGAGTTTTTGCTTGTCCTCTGCGGCTGTCTCTTGTATATGTGATTAGTTCTGCTTGTAATTAGGTCTTTGTCTTTTAGCAGTCTTTGTCAGATCCTTGTTGGTCGTGCGTCAGAAAGTCTTGCTTTGTTTTGTCTTGCATTTAAGGTTGGTTAAACCTTAAATGTTACGTTATAAAAATGTGATGAATCTGAATTAATTTCATTTCGTTCATACGATTTATACTGATATTTATTGTCGTGGCTGGAGTCACGCACACAACTTTAATAAGAGAAACATTTTTATTGTTTTCTGCTGTTTTTTTTATTTTTACGATCATACCAAAAAAGTATATTGAATTGTAGCACAGTTTATATTGGTGATTAAATGGAGTTATACCTGTAAGCATTATCATTTGCTTGATGCAGCTTGATGATTCAAATCAAACAATGGGAGCATGTATTGTTTTAAAAAACAGTTATACATACATGGCAGAAAAGTTTCAGCAAAAGTTGTAAAGCACCACTAAACATTATATGACAACACCAATATGTGTGCAAACATGGCCCTCCGTGCTGCCAAGGTTATCAAAATGACCCACACCTTAACCACTTCTTGAATCGCTCTCTGAATAAGAATGTGGTTGAACTACCAGCAAGCTTCTACAAAATGTAGTTACATTTTAGTTAAGTAACACATAGTTCACTATTCATATGAATTCAGATGCTGTACATACTATCATTTTCACAGTCGATATTTTGAATATAGGCTGTAAGTTGATGTCTGAAAAACTTAACTGGTTCATTGCACCACTTAAAAAAAGACTAAAAAGTAGTATATTTAAAGAGCACCAACATTGAAGTTCAATCATTTAAAGGTTCGAAATGGTGATAATAATATAAGTTCAAAAAAATCTTTAAAGTCAGATTCAAGAGCATGCAATGGCAGATTATGCACACATCAACTACTTCTTATCATTATGTATATATCGCTGAAAACCATTCTGCATTCATGTATATCAAAAAAACGAAATCAGTTAAAAAATAGAGGGCAAAGTAAACACTGTCTATGATTACAGCCGCTCTTCTGTAGCGTCCCGGCTTTCTCTGGTCTTGTTCTTCAACTTCCTGTCGAGCTGCATTCACCTTCATCAGTTTCAGCAGGTCACAACAATTGAGCCCATCCAGAGGAAGGGAACTTTTCTCAGGAATCTCTTTTGCTCCAGCAGGCTCTGTGTGGAAGAGACAGTTCAACAGAATGAAAAAGTGCTTAGTTGAAAATTGCTAGATATTTATATAAAATTGCCAATTGTGGTGTTGTATAATTGTATTGTCTATTAAAGTCAATCCTCCTAATATAAAAACATATTACACATTTGTATCAAGGTGCCTCACATCTGTCTATTTATGGGTGTGTTCTTATCTTAAAAATAGTTATGTTGAACAAGTACTCAGATCATGTAGTAAAGTCAAATAAGAAGTACCAGACTGTAGGTATATTCTGTATTAAAAGGTAGGTAGGTAGGTAGTGTGACGACCCCTCCACACCATGTGGGGTGCCGTCTGGTTGTGTGTGTGTTTTGTGTGTGCAGGTCCCAGCTGCAATCTGTCTGATGAGGTGCACCTGCCGGGTGAGCTATGCTGAAAAGGATATAGGAGGAGCAAGCCGGATACGTGGCTCTCGTTCCTCTGGGCACTTTTTCCGTGCCAGCCTCGGGGACCTGTGGCTGGTTCTGTTCATTACATTGTTTATTAAAAATAAATAGGTAGGTAGGTAGGTAGGTAGGTCGAATTTTGGAGAGACCTTACCTTTGTGATTTTCGTCTTCCACTAGGATATCCATTTGGGCGTCAGCAGGGCTTTGAGCCATCATAGAGCAGCAACCATCGAGGTCGTATAGGTAGCCCACCAGCATGGCCTCCAGGACGCTTAACCCCACAATGGTGAAGATCGCAAGGCAGTAGCTGGCTAAAAAGATCCAGCGACATTTTCTGGTCAGTGTGATGTTGTCGAGGTAAGTAATGAGCAGGGGGGGAGCCAAGAGGTTGGCTACTGAGGCACATCGGTGGCTGCACATGTGCTGTCAAGTTGTTGAAGATGTTTCTTCATTTGTAAGTGTTTTGGCACATTTGTGTTTTAATATTTGCATCGTTTCTGCAGTGCGTCTGTCCTAGTGGAAGTGTTTAGGGCCATTGTAGTGCGTTTACACCAGTCGGCCACCGTGCATGAAGCCTAAAAACTCAAATAAAAAAATTAAACTTAACCCTTTGGGGCAAGTTCATCAAACCTTCTTCAGCTACAACAAGGCAGGCCAAAATGTGTTGAGAACCTAAATGTAATGTGGGCCTGATCAAAATGACCTCAGACAGGATTTGGCATAGGATGATTATTTACTTGGCAACTATCATGTTTTTTTCCATATTATATACAGAATTTAATGCAGCTTACCAATCCATGGCAGCTTATTTTCAGTGGAGGGCAAAATGTCCTTAAGAATCAGCAGCATGACGGAGATGGACAGAAGTAACGTCCCTTTGAAGCCCAGCTTTTCACCTCTGGCTTCACTGATGAAGAAGGAGGCCAAATCCAGGACCAGAAAATAGAGCAGGGGAATGATTAAATTAATCACATAAAGCATCGGCTTCCTTGAGATTATGACCTGGGGAAAAAAAACAAAATATATCATTTAAAATTATTGTCAAGCAAGGATCCTGAAATGGCTGTATACTATGTAATATTAAAGAGCAATATTATGCAAATATTCCTAAAAAATAAATAAAGTTAAAATAAAACAAACCTTTTTTTAAATATACTTTTTAATTAGTACCAATATTTGCAACATGTACAAATACATAATGGAGACTTTAACTTTGCGTTTAACCTTTTAAACTCCTGTGAACTCTCTTTTAAGGACACCTAGACATCGGAACTATGTCAACAACAACAGACCCAATAACTATGTTCTTACCTTGTATGTTAGTTTCTGTTTATCATGAGTTGTTTTGGAATAATTAAATGAAAAAATGTCCATTTTGACGAGTTCCCATTCTCCCTTTGTAACCATGAACTGCTCCGAGATGTAGGTAAGGGCTTCGTCAGTGTTGACTGACCCCAGTTGTATAGCGTTGCCTGTGTGGAAAGGAAAGTGATAAACAAATAAATAATGATATCACATATGCTCCAATGCAGGAAAAATTGCTCAGTCTGCAGTTAATGAGGGACACTACAGGAAAAAGTAGGTGTTTATTTTCATGCTCTGGTCAAATTTGACACTTCGTGCTATAATGCTATATTCAAAATTAGAAAATACCCCTGTAGGTGTTTACTTTGCTAACATTGTCTAATTGTTACTTCATATGTAATGAATACATTTATAATTCAACAAAAGCTGGCATTTCATAATGCCTCAATTAAAACTTTTGTAAAGCAAAAAACAATTGTCTCGTGTGTATAATATAAGTAATCTACTGGGGAAGTTTCAAAGCAACATCCATAAGTTACATGGTTTTACCTTATTTACCTGTAATGTACGATGGCCAACAGGTGCAAATGCGCCACAATGCCCAAAACATTTAAATTAGGACAAACAAGCTGCAGCTTCTAAAGTGATGCAAATATAGAAACACAAATGTGCCAAACACATGCAAATGAAGAAACATCTTCACCATCTTGAAAACACATGCACACCATTTAGAAAAAAACTTGACGCTTGCAGTATTAACTAAAAGAATTGCAGATTAAAAAAAAAACTGCAAATTAAAAAAAGCTGCAAGAAGCTCAAACACAAAAGAAACCAGGGGACACTAAACTTGATGCACACAGCTGGGAAGGGAGCGCTTGTTGACGTTCGGGGATGAAATTAATATATTATCAAGTTGTCGAACTGTCACTGTTGGCACTGTTTAAAAATTGTGAGTAAGTGTTTAGTCCGTATACACAAAATGAATAAGATGGCAAATCTGCCATAATATCTGAAGGAACCATGCGATCACATTGCTAAAATAAGAAAATAAAACCTACATTTCAAGTAGGTTTCCAGTGACAAGTAAGAGTTGGCCAAGCATAATTTTTAGTGCCCTCTGTTTTTTTTTGAGAGGAAGGCAGAGGGTCTTGACGGACCAGACCCGGGCGACGGAAGCTGGCTTTGGGGACGTGGAACGTCTGGGGGGGGAAGGAGTCGGAGCTTGTGCGGGAGGTGGAGCGTTACCAGTTGGATCTGGTTGGGCCCACCTCTACGCACAGCGTCGGCTCTGGAACCTTACTTCTGGATAGGGGTTGGACTCTATTCTTCTCCGGAGTTGCTCAAGGTGTGAGGCGCTGAGCGGGTGTGGGGATACTCACAAGTCCCCGGTTGGGTGCTTCGTTGTTGGAGTTTACCCCAGTGGACGAGAGGGTCGCCTCCCTACGCCTGCGGGTTATGGGGGGGAAAACTCTGACTGTTGTGTGTGCTTATGCACCCAACAGCAGTTCAGAGTATACGGCCTTCTTGGAGACCCTGGAAAGAGTCCTATATGGGGCTCCTGAAGGGGCCTCTTTAATCTTGCTGGGAGACTTCAACGCACATGTGGGCAATGATGGAGACACTTGGAGGGGAGTGATTGGGAGGAACGGCCCCCCTGATCTGAACCGGAGTGGTGGTTTGTTACTGGACTTCTGTGCTAGTCATGGATTGGCCATAACAAACACCATGTTCGAACATAAGGATGCTCATAAGTGTACGTGGTACCAGAGCACCCTAGGCAGAAGGTCCATGATCGATTTCGTTATCGTATCATCGGACCTGAGGCCGTATGTTTTGGACACTCGGGTAAAGAGAGGGGCGTAGTTGTCAACTGATCACCATCTGGTGGTGAGTTGGGTCGAGTGGCGGGGGGAAGCCTCTGGATAGACCTGGTAAGCCCAAACGTGTAGTTCGGGTGAGCTGGGAACGTCTGGAGGAGGCCCAAGTTCAGGAGGCCTTCAACTCACACCTCCGGCGGAGCTTTTCGGGCATTCCTGTGGAGGTTGGGGACATTGAACCAGAGTGGTCGGTGTTTAAAGCCTCTATTGCCGAAGCCGCGGCGGGGAGCTGTGGTCTCAAGGTCTTAGGTGCCTCAAGGGGTGGTAACCCTCGAACTCTTACCGAGGAAAGCCTGCTTTTCCTCCTCGCCAAGTTTGAGGCCTCAGGGAGGGCGCCGGCGTACTGTTGAAGAGTGGAATAGGATTCCCTCTGTTGGTCGTGGGAAAGCCTTTTTTTGGGTAGCGCAGCCCTCTTGAGATATACTTGGAAGATACTAACCCAGATTAGGATTGTAAGACACTCAGGACAATGAAATCTGTGAGACTATATACTAGATCGTAAAGCGCAACCGACGATTTCCGAACTTACACAATCGGTTAAGATGAAATGTCGTAAAACACAACTTGATCCACACGTAGAGACCAATATTGTGCAGACAACCTGGCACGACGAAAGGGAATACGAGCGCAGAACAAGATCGTTAACAGTTGTGTAGGCATAACAAAGTACACCTCATGGGCAGACACACAAACGGTTCGAGGTACGATGAGATCTTTTAACTCCGAGTAAGTAGTTTACTTAAATCGAATATATCACAGGACATAGAAAGCATTTTTAATATATTTGGTAAAGTCGTTACAACTTTCACCTCCCTCGAGAGACAGTGGTCGAAAGTTTGTGTGTGTGTGTGTGTGTGTGGTGTGTGTGTGTGTGTGTGTGTGTGTGTGTGTGTGTGTGTGTGTGTGTGTGTGTGTGTTGTGTGTGTGTGTGTGTGTGTGTGTGTGTGTGGTGTGTGTGTGTGTGTGTGTGTGTGTGTGTGGTAGAGGCCAGACCTCTACTGGTCATCCAACCAACCCATCGCAGAACCACTCGTCAGCTCTGTAAGGCGAGAAGGTTGTACCTCGTGACTTTGACGGACCAAAAATTCAAAATTAAACTTTTCGATGGTTGAACATTAACCGCACCAATCCGTTTGACTAATCCACTGTCGAGTTACCGCGGTTTTGTGTCAGCTAGCGCTACCGCTGCGCCAGCTCACAGCACCACGCCGCATCTAGCGCTGGCAATTTTTTATTCTCATTGTTTTCTTTCTTTTCTTTTAATTTTATTATTACAAACTTTTTTAATGCAAAAATCTACATTTGGTAGTAGGTGGGTGGGGCAATCGTCTACGGTGAACTAACTGCATATAGAACTCTTGGAGTTCCATATTTGTAATTGGCACGAAATGCACTTTGGAGTTAGCGTACTGTGTTCTCTGTTGCCGGTCCTGACATTAAAGGGCACAAGTCACTGCGCGTTGTCTCCGTTGTGTGGTCTGTTTAGCTCTCAACGTGACCGTTTATGTGCACACGACACAGTAAAAGTTCGGAGGCGAGACACACAACGACACCCGCTATCGCGTAAATCACACTATCGACTCCCTCTCCCTCACTGCCCTCTCTCCTCGCCTGGCCACAATCGCCCCTGCACTACAATCTAGACCATCGATCGACCTGATTGCCCTTATTCCTCGAAAAGGTGTTGTTCGCCCTCCTCTCAAGGAGAGGACAGTATGACTCCCCGAGTCCACTCGATTCCTTGAGACTTGTCAAAACTCCTCTAAAACAGTGTCTTTCATAAAGTGATTGTAATAAAACAGCGCCGGGTAGTGAAGACGAAGGCTCAAGAGAAATGTACATGTTGATTCATGCTTATTTACTTTTTGTCCATACTTTATTGGATGGACGACTACAGAGATAGCGCGCGGTCCCTTTTGTTCTATGTCAAATCTTCGCCCCTATCATCTAAACATTCTGCTTGAGTACAGGTATTTCTTTTGCTTTTAGCATGTCAAGACCAAAGTATACTCACATACACGGCGAGGGCGACGAGGCTCACTCTCAATAACTATGAGCGTGTGGGTATCTGGAGAAGTATAGCGCAGACGAGAGTTCACGTGGTTCGTAACCGTAGCGGAAAGTTGAAGAGGGTTATAAAATTTTTTTTACGGCCCTCGTAAGGGGGAACCAGAGGGGGAGACTGCGCTAGCCATCGTCCCAGGAGCCGGGGTTATCGTGAAATGGGGACGGATATGGCAATCGACTAATACCTGGAAGTAACAATTAAAGTCCTACGTTAATCCGGATACTTTTCCGGAGTTTAACCCTTCGTAACAGACCCGGCAGAAAAAGTGAGTTAGACGTTATCATCTAGAGCGGAACAGTTCGGGATCCGTTACTGGGGCTCAGGCCACTCATATTTCTTCCAACCACCGTATGTGACCAACACTCGACTAGGTGTGTAGTAGGAGTGTGCATGTAGAACTATAGTAAAACACTAGTGAAATTCGCCTCTCGATATTGTGGGTTATTCCGCATCGAGCAGGAATTGATTTCATATGTGGTCCAACTAGGAGGCTGACGACTTTCGACAATTTTATGTCACAACCTTCTGCAGTGAGAAATTGAGAGAGTTAACAAATCCCATTGCTACTACCTAGGAGATACTCGTAGTTTCATATAAATTTCATGAATAGGACGTGTTACTAGGGTAAAGAGAGTCATTTGTTTCAGATATTAGTGGAATTTTACATGAATTCTCCAATGACCAATCATCATATACCTGAACAGGGAGTCACAATATAAGAGCGTATACCTCAGATAATATATCGGAATGGCAATCTTCTGAGACCAGTTACACCTGGTTTACATCATTTAACTTATTCCATGGGACAGTACATGTAATTCATCATTTCATGACGTATATATGGTACTAAGATCCGTACTCCTCGCTCTTCACAATACCATACATGTGTTCACTCATTGTCACTCAAAATTTAATTTACCATGCATCACATCTTCATACATTTCATTGGTTGTTTACCTTTATAATGAGTCTCAGATTTCAGTGTGTGGGTATACACGGATGGTATGAATCAATCCAAAGTTGATGACCTAGTAATGTCTGCTCAGGTCATTTATAAAGTTCCTGGCGCAAGTCGTGCTAGGGTCTACGGGGCAACCGCTTGCCTAGATCACCCTCACCGACGTTCGCAGCGTCCTGTTAGCGTCTGGCACTACTTCGGGTAGTCTTGGTGTAAGTAGCGACGGTCTTTTTCGTCACCGACGGTTAGGAATCAGGTGGCTTGACGTCTGGGAAACATGGGGTGCAGCATGCCAGAAGCTTTATTGCATAACATGA